TACTAGGGGCTCCAGGCATCGCTACTAGGAGCAAGGATGCTACTAGGGGCTCCTGGCCTTACTACTAGAGGCAAGGACGCTACTAGGGGCTCCAGGCATCGCTACTAGGAGCAAGGATGCTGCTACGGGCTCCTGGCCTCGCTACTAGGAGCAAGGATGCTAGCTGGTGGATCGCTGATGGTGGATTGCTCGTTCGAATGGACAATTGGTCACCTTGGCCGCTGTCGTTCCCATGCCCATTGGCCCCTCTCTCACTGGTTGGTGCAGGCCATACTGGCGAACCTGCACTTTGGGACCGCCTTTGTGCAGCAGGTGGAGCAGATCGGTCACACCACCTGGGCAGGGTCTAGATGGGTCGACTCTGAGGTCGAGACCCGATTGTGCCATGTTGTGAAATTGATGATCATGTTTTGTAACCCATAACACTGTTGCGATACCATGACATGAAAGTGCCTGGCGTTGACACAACAGGTTCTTTGGCTACGGCTCGAGATGTGAGTTAATTTCTCTGCCTGGCTTTGTGGAACCAATGTTCCTAGTAGTAGGAATGCTCCTAGTAGCGATGCCTGGAGCCCCTAGTAGCGTCCGATCGCTCCTAGTAGTAAGGCCAGGAGCCCCTAGTAGCGTCCGATTGCTCCTATGCAGACCCGGCGGAATTTCAACAAGTTTGATGCAAAGGAATTGCCACTGGGACCAACGTGGGCACAGGCCGAGATTGGAGGTGTGCTGAGGGTGAGCCTATCAGCATTGTCTTTTGGGGGTTGCGTGACTGCCCAACCGCAAGCGAGACACCGACGACACGAAAAGACATACAGTAAACAATTACTATATACTATTTTTGAACAAGGCCTTCACTAACCATCATCATCCACTGTTACAGGCATTACAGGTATTAGGATAGATCCAAAGTATAGTCATATCGCCTGGTAATGGAGAAGGAGGGGGGGCGTTGGTCAGTTGAGTCAAAGTGGTCCGTTTTTCGATGCGTGGTGTGATGGCACGTTTGACGTGGCCTTTTGAACGCCGCCGGTGAAAGAAGACGCTTGCTTCATGTAGTAGTCAACAGGGGGAAACATGAGCAAAACCGCTGCTTGAAGCAATCCATTCTGATTGCCCACAAACCCCGGTTTCTGGGAACTCGTGGGAAGAGCACGACTTGGCGTCATAGCCCGCCCGCCTTCCGCGCTAAGCGCGCTCGCCAGACGCTTCAACCGATCCGTTCGACTCGCGAGTTCCGGCGAAGAGCCGTTCGAAAAAGCTTTCGACTTTCCGAAGTGGACCAGCCGTCCTCTCGGAAGTGGAAGTCGCCCGTCTGAGGCCACAACGTTTGATCTACAATTTTCCGCTCTTTTACACGGCCGTGTACCCCGAGTTGATCCGAGCCTTGGAGATGGAGACAAGATCCACGAGGTGTTTGTAGACGTGGTGACAGCATTGGTGAGCAAAGGGTTAATCAGAGCAGTCTGTTCTGGGCGCAGGTGGACTTTTTTTTTTAGCATTTGCGCGTTTTTAAAGCTCGATCGTTATCCCAAGCCGAGGCCATGTGCCACCCGTTTTTTGACAAAGTGGATGCACATATATGTGGAACCTTTTCCCGTGTCCGTCTTGAGGTGTTTAGAAGCGCCGTCCACAGTTCCACAAGATGACACCTTGGTCATGAGTCATTAGCAACAGCATAAAAGTCATTGCAGCTTTCATTGCTGAGGATACTTTGAGGAGAGCTACATTTTCTGAAACTCTTTATGTTCACAAGAACTGCCAAGCCACCCAAGCCCAAAGTGGCTTCAGCCGAACTCTTGCTCCGCCTTGGAAGTGCCAAACCTGGTGTGCCCAAGGTGTGATGAAAGCTGGGATTTGTCTCAAGGGGACTGGACAATGATGACCATCTCGAGACAAAGCCCGGTGCAGATCTGGCGCAACCCTGGAGGTGCAAAAGAAGTGAGTCTCAAGTGCGGGCGTTGTGGAGGACAGGTCGGCTTAGACCCAGTAGTAACAAGAAGCTAGTAGTAACAAGTGCCACGCTAGTAGTAACAAGTGCCTTACTAGTAGTAACAAGTGCCTTACTAGTAGTAACAAGTGCCTTACTAGTAGTAACAAGTGCCACGCTAGTTCCTCACGTCATTGGCCGAACCAGCATTGACTTGGTAGTGCTCATGGACAAATGGACGACCCACGGACTCATGGAGGAATACTTTGCGCTATCACCCTTTCATTGTTGCCTTGTGATTCCAGATGCATCATGCACGAAGGTCAACCTGAGTCAACCTGTCTTGATTTGCATTCTCTTCCATGGGCCTCGATGGCAGTCCTACCAAACAAGCTCCTCAGCTACCATCCCTACTGAGCCAGCTTGTTCCTAGTAGTAAGGCCAGGAGCCCCTAGGTTGGAGGCCATTGCTATTGGGTTGGAGGCCATTGCTATTAGTAGCGTCCTTGCTCCTATATAGTAGCATCCCTACTGAGCTTGTATCTAAAGACTCCGAACTTTGAGAAAGCACCCCGCCTGACATGAAGCTGTGGATTCTTCCGGAAGGTGATCCAGCGACAAACGAAGACCTAGGAACAAGGACGCTACTAGGGGCTCCTGGCATCGCTACTAGGAGCAAGAAGCTACTAGTAACTAGAAGCTTCCTTGGGAATCGTTTCACCAGCTCCCAGGAGCGCGCTGCCCTCTATGCTACGACCAGCAAAGACGTGCAGAAGCCGGGAGCGTTCTGCGGGGTGGCCAGGGGTCACTATCCATTTTCGATGCTTTTCACAAGAGGTGCACGGAGTTCCCTGATCTACCACTTTCTAGGTTTCCCCAGAGGGAAAAACCGCTTGGCACAATGTCGGTAGGGATTTCTCATCGAAACCTTTACCCTTTCCTCAATGTATCTGATTTGGTTTGGATCTGGCCTCTCCTCAGCTTCAAAGAGACGATGTGAGCGGGTAGCTCAACATGTTTTTCTCTTTCTTTTTTTCATTTTTTCCCCAAACAGTGTGGGCACACTGAGGGGTTCTTACGGTAAGGGAAAGGCAGCTGATGCTTAGATCGCTGAAGCGCACGGGCGTGTGCGGCTGATTCGCTGCTATTTACAGTACATTCATGGTTCTCGACATCGTCCGCGCAGGCTCGCAGAATCTGGGTGGCTGGAGCGAGTGCTTGTCGCGACTGCGCTCTCGTTGTGGTGCTGTGCGCATTTTCGCACATGGTGATCACTGGAAACCTCGTGTTTTGGTGCTCCAAAGTCGACTTTTCGTGACAGGTGCAAGGGATCGGAGGTGCTTGACTCCGAAGTGCAGTTTTCGTGGCGGGCGCAGCACTTTGGACATGGTGGTGATCGCCGCGATGCAGTGGAAGAACCAAGGTGTCTCCTGTGAGCATTTCTATGCTCTGTCTGCGACTCCGCGACACATTGTGCTCCTGCCTGCTCTACTCAAGGAAAAAAGTGCGCTTGACGACTGCTGCCTTTCAATTTATACTTTGACATTGGACCTTTCCGCCTTGGACAATGATTTTCTCTTTCTTTGGATATTTCATTTTTCTGCTCGAATTGTTTGTTCGAATTTACACCTCACCTTCTACTTCGTGCTCGCGGGTGCTACTCTTCCTACTTCCATGCATTTCTACTTTCTCCTCCTTCGTGCTCGCGGGTGCTTCACCTCCTCCTGCTACCACTTTCTGTGATGACTGCGTATGATACACACTCCACACTGTTTGGGGTCTCTTGCCGGGATAATAAACATATTGAACGTCATGGACTACTACTTGTGCACTACACGTTTCAAATACAACAGACCTGCAAAGCAGCACATACATGCACATACTGTTAATGGACAATACCCCTTTTGTTCTATTCTCTATTCTGAGTTGTTACACTCTGATTGATTTGCTGAGGGTTGTGCCCTGGTGTCCTGGGGCTTTTCCTTACTGCTTGACTGAGCTGCTCACAAACTCTTACGACAAAGTCAGGCTACTATGTGGGCTCAGATGAACTCTGAACCATCATTCAATCCTAGTTCCTCAAGGTGCTTCTGTGGGTGTACTCAAGCTGTTGCACTATGCACTATATATTATACTCACTTCCACTCCAAGCTGCTGTAAGCTAGATTACCTCAATCAAGCTGCCTTGCAGCGGGTTCTTAGGTAATTCCTGAGCACAAGAGATGGTCGGGCTTTTAACCTTAGTGATCTACAGCTGGATTCTATACAACAAGTTTATCAGAGAATCTTTTGGATGGTACAGCAGAACATATGTCCTTGAACTGTTTTGTATTTGGATGTGTTTCCTTCTTGGATAAGACTTACGGACATCAACATCTGCCACGAGCGCCCCCGATTTGTTGCCGAACAGGTGGTTTCCACAGGTGCATCACATGAACAAGGCGGAGCAGGCATTGCGGGGAGGACTAGATCATCGAGGGGTTGGAAGGGATTTCCTGCTTCTGTATGATCCCATTGTTTATAGGTGGGAACCAGAGGAATTTCTGATTCGTTGATAGGACTCTGTCCGTCAGTTTTTGTTTTTGTCAGGGAATAGGGCAGGTGAGATGAATGTTCTGGTAGAGGATTTGATCTCATTTTTGGTGCATGCAGGATTATGAGGCTTGTAATCATTCCCGCGGCACGTTCACTGGCTTACCTTTTTGCATATTGAGCTTTTCTTCAAGTGAGGGACCCTGGCATTCAGATTTCTTACTTCGACCTGCCTATTGCTTTTGAATGATAAACG